TTGTAAGTTATAAGCATTTTTATATTTATATATAAAAAGTGGATGTTTCTTGCTGTCCGGTACTGTATCTAATAATTTAATTAATAAAATTAACTCACTAAACTTTATACGTAACGGTAACTTGGTTATTATGCATAATTGTACATCAATATCTTTTCGTACTACATAAAATGGCAAATTATTAATTTAACATAGTTAATTTAATATATAGAGTGGCCAAATTAATATATAGAGCGGCCAAATTTAATGTGTGAAGTTGCCAAATTTGCTTGTTTAATGTATATTTTAAGCGGCCAAATTGCTTGTTTAATTATAAATTACCTCGACTTTAATTAATAAAAATAAAATTAAAAAAAAAATTTGAGACCATCAAAATGTTTAGCTTGCATGGTTTTAGTGTTCTATAAAGAGATTTTTTGTTTATTGTTTTTTATGAACAAGGATTAGCATTTTGAAATTAGTCAAATTTGTTAGGTTGTCTGCACTGTATAATACTGTAATATATATTTATATGCGCATAAACAATTTTGGACGTCCCAAACAAAGTGATGATCTATATGCATCACGTGGATTCCGGCACATTGTCGATACGTGCGTACTAATTTTTATTGGGACGTCCCAAATTGCTTGGCAAAATTTGGATCCAAATTTTTACGCGTCCCTAAGACTATAACATCGTAATCTTGAAAGGAATGTGATTACAGATGCTCATATGAAGATCATGTTTTAACAATTTCAAAGATTTCTATGAATTTAGAAACTTTATGCTACGTATAGTAATAACTATGTTAACAATATTTCTATATGATTTGTAATTAAAATTTAATTAGAAACATATTAATGCTAAGATAACTTACTGGCTAGCCAGTAATAATCTGAAACACCATTTGGAATATTTTAAAAAATAATCTATTTATATCTTATATATATAAGTAATATCTTTTTTTTATCCGGAGCCTCCGGAGTATGCTTTACCGAAGAAAAGAACTTGAAGTTGGTCGTAACTAAAATAGGAAACATTTTAGCTAGAAATAAAGTGTACAAACAAAATAACCAAGTAAATGAAAAAGACTAACCCCGATAAGACACCAGCACCGGCGATGGCACGAAGGATGTTGGCACCAGCACCTTTGAACAAAGATCCTGTACCTTCCTTGGTAATAATTTCTCTAAAGGCATGGAGGGAGGATTTGTATTTTACGGCTTCACCAGACGTCATCATCATCCTACGTCGTACAGTGTCTATTGGATAACTTGCAAGGCCAGCCCCGATAGTAACACTCCACCCGAGCAAAAATCTAATTACACAAAGCAAAACATTAATTTCATATATGAAATTAAATTAAATAACTATTAACGGTAAATTAAACTTACGATGCGAGGAAATTGTCTTTGAGAGGTCCAGTTAAGACAACAGGCTTAAGAGAATCAAACATACCGAAGTAAAGACCCCTGTAAATAATGATGCCTTTTTTTGGTAAAAATAAAAATGATAAGTGATAAAGATCATGCTAGCATTTAAAGACTTTAATAAATACTATTGTAGAAAATAATATACAGGATGGTGTATCGTAAATGGATCAAAGGATCCAAAATATAACTTACCGACGCACGAAATGTTGAAGCCTAGCGCGATTCAAATAAGTAAAAAAGATCAGATAAAAAGTATATGCAATTTAGTTAATATAAAAAAAACGATTTACCTCTATAAAGACCCGCTATGCCATCGGATGCGAGGGTCTTACGATAGACATCAACAAGACCGCTATATTGTCGTTCACCAGCACCTTTCGTAGCGGCCTTTGCGTCGTTGGCAAGACGGGTTCGAGCAAAGTCGAGAGAGTACACAAACGTCAAAGATACAGCACCAGCGGCACCTCCAGAGGCAAGGTTGCCAAGAAACACCTTAACATAGCCATCTTTATCTCTTTTATAATTAAACATTCGCTTGAATTTATCTTTAAACGCAAAGTTTAAGGCTTGAGTGGGGAAGTATCGGATGACATTTGCGGTATTACCACGCCAAAGACTGATAACACCCTCGTCTTTAACTGTTCGAACAAAACAGTCTCCAATACCCTTGTAAGGCCTTGAGAGACGACCGGACTTAATCATAGCCTCCTGGTTCTGAAGTAATAATTTAACACGTTCAATGGGAGCGGCAGCAGTTTTTGAAACGGCAGCGGAAACACCGCCCATCAAAAAATCAATGGCAAAGTTAGAGCCGGTTTTCTTTTGACCCGTTTGACCCGACATTATAAGGTTTAAGAGTGGGGAGGATGTAAAAATTGGTTATCGGTAAAAAGAAACAGAAGTTAAAGATAGTAAGAGAATGATAAGGATTCTTAGAAACAAGTTTATATTATTATTGATTAAAGTGGAACAAAAATTTTTTTTGAAGCTCCGAAGATAATTGGATAAACAAGCGCATAAACACAATTCAAATTATGATTGGATATCGAACATTAAGTATCTAGTCTAAATATAGTTATTTTGAGTTTAAATGGCAAGCCTTTATTTTTTTTTAAAATCCGTGAATTTCCGCCCCTCGCTTATCCGAACCGAATTTGGAACCGCAAGCTAACTACACTAACGATAATAAATTCTCTGATTAGTAAGAGAAGCACAGAAACTCCTCTGGGCATTCTAACTCACTTTTTAGTACTAATCTTTTATCGATGAAACCAGAATCATCCTTCTGCGAAGGACTTAAGTGAAGAACAGAAATAACAGTAATACTGGAAATACTGGAATTAAAACAGTATGCTATGCTCATCAATATTGTCGTACAAACCTGTCTGTTATATTATTCGTCCGCTCAATACCGTTTCCAAATAAAAGGATCAAAAGTTCTACATTAGTATACTCTATGCTTAAATAGATCACAAAGTTCATAAATATAGAATTTCCCCTTCTCGTTACAGCAACGAACATCATTAAAAGAACACAGCGTGAAATATTGCATTGAGTAAAAAAAAAAAAAAAAAAAAAAAAACTTTTAATGTGGTAATGATGGGTGGAATCTTGATTCCGAGAGATTTATCAAACCATCCAAAAGAAATTCTGTGGTATGTAATTTATAAAGACTCTATATCTGTCTATTTGTCTAAAATGATGATAAGTTTGAAGTGTCTTCCATATTATTCGGCTTTTGACGAATGTGTGATGGTGACATTAATGACTACGTCGGTATCTGATTCGTGGATAATGTTTTTATATTAATCTTGGAAACTATCTAAGGAACCAGTTCTGATCAATTATAATTATTTTGCCTATAAATAACAGAAATTATGGAATATCCATCAAGGTTAAGGTTGTAAACCATTTTTTATCTTGAAAAACAGTAATCTAACACAACTAAAGAATGTTTCTATTTTAATTAAAAAATTTTTTTAGCCAACATTTAATTGCATTTAAGATAGTTGATTTATTGTAAAAATTAAATTATTTTTTTGTTGCAGACGTTTTCAGATCATCGTATTAGTAGCAAAACAAGTAGAGAACTAATTTAAATAAGAATAATGCTGCAATTTCTGGAAATACGCATCGTACTGAGAAAAACTTTGTTCCGACGCTTCAACACTCCCAGAAGAAGCTTTCGTTTTCTTGACTGCTACCCTTACTAAAACTTCTATAAAAACCCACTGCTGTTTCATATAATTGTCTGTCTTTTTCTGGATCAAATGTTGTTGCAATTGAAGGATCTTCTCTATAAATTGTGATAAATGGTTATAAATTAAGTATTCGATATCGAAGAATTTACAAATGATTAGATATACTTGATGTTCAATTTTTCGTCAAATTGTGAAAGTGGAACTTGTGATGGACGTTTCAAAGCAGCATAACTGTTACCAACAATAGGAGATTGTGGCTCCTGTTCTTCCTGAGCGGATGACGTAAATAAAGGCGTGTGACCTATAAATGGAGTCTGCCCAAATAAATGCGACGGACCGGGAGTTGGCTTTTGAGTAGCCAAGGGTGCTTTGTCAAGGTTAGATGATGGCCTTGTTCTTCTTACGGGAGTTGTTTGTGCTAATACCGAGGGCTGTGGCGAACTGGGTGAACGAATGACATTACTTGAAGTTTCACGATAATACTTATCGTTATAAAAAAAATAAAATAAATTAAATAAATAAAAATCAACATAGATGAACGAAAAAAAAGTGCAAGTAAAAATACTGCAAGTAAATCTTGAGAGGGTTGTGTTTTATCTTCTTCCAAGCCAAATTTTTTACGAAACAATTCTTTATCCTTTGTTTTATCATGACCTATTAAAGAAACAAATTAAATCGGCCTTACTGGGAAACTAAAGATAAACATATATTACCCATTACGGAACTTTCAGCTTTGAAAGATAACGGATAAGGTGCAGTAATATTTCCTATGCCTAATGCCCATTGTGAAGTTGGAGGAAGAGATATAGAGGCCGCATTTTTATATCTTGAATAAAGTGAATCTTCTGAAGACATTA